GTCAAATTGAGAGCCTTCACAAGAACTTCTATATTGTCATGTGGGCTTGTGTGAGTATTTGTAACTCTTTCTAAATTACTCTGTTCTCTGCTAAAATAAATCTGTCCTTGGGAATATAATTTGAACAAAGGGATTTAATGAAACTCTGAAGAGTTTGTAAATTATTGCCATAGGTATAGTTTTCCAAAGGGAAATCTATAATTGTGATTAGCTTTTTTACTTGAAATCTCTTGTCCTGGTGATAATGCTGAAATTGGCATTTCAGTATTTCTAAGCTGTATTAATATTTGAAGGATTTCTCTGTCATAGTATAAGGCAGCCATTGGCACTTACCTGTGCCTACATACATCATGGGGGGAACAATAAGAGTTCATACCTGTTAGAGTTCTTATTTTCATAAGAAGAGTGAAAGTCTATGAACTCAACACTCAGTCTGATTGCAACTCATGAAATAAGCACTTATTTATTTAATATTATAAGCTTAGGCATCATATTATTAGTGTGCTTGGAGCCAATATAATCATCATAAACAGTGCAATTTACAACTAACATGGCTTTGACCAAACTGTGGGAGGTGACAGGCAACAGAGCCAATGATATTTGGTTTGGGTTTTTCCTTTGGCTGGCAGCTGACAAAGTCTGCATAGAATTTCTAGGACGTCAAAGGAGTTGTTTAATTAGCCAGAGATAAGTCTTGGAAGAAAATCGAGACTTTGAGCAATCATTTACAGAAATCTTGATGTGAACTCTACCACTCAGTTCCCAGTATGATCAAGATGATGGGGATGGACTATGGAAGCCTCACGTTGGCTCTGCTCCACGCATCCGAAATTGCAGAAGATACAGATCACTGTGTCACAGACTACCAACAATAACATAAAGAAATATGGGAGTGGCAGGCAGTGCAGTTTTCTATATGCCTGGGAGCAAAACTGAAAAATAGTGCACTGAGACACAGAGGAGATTCCACCACTGTCATAGTTTTATGTATCCGCTTGGCTAGTTCATAGTTTTATGTATCCGCTTGGCTATAGTACCCAAGTATTCAATTAAATACTAATCTGTATGTTGCTGTGAAGATATTTTGTAAATGTGGTTAACATCTACAATCAGTTAACTTTAAATAAAGGAGATTATCCTGGGTAATGTAGGTGGCCCTCTTCCAATCAGTTAAAAAACAGTAAGAGCAAAACAGAGGCTTCTCCAGGGAATAAGAAATTCCATTTCAAGACTAGGACATCAGCTTTTGCCTGCCCTACAGATTTTAGACTTGCCAGTCCCCACTCACGATTATCTAAGCCAATATATATATTCTCCTACTAGTTTTGTTTTTTTCCTGGACTTCGTTTCTCTGACTGATATAACCACTGAAGAAAAGACTAGAAGCTGGAACTATTATAGAACTGTAAGAAAAGAACCCTCAGTAGAAAGATTTCCAGAAACAAAGTAAAATCATTCCTTGTAATGAATATGGCTGAAAAATTTGAAGCAGCCAAGAAAGTCCTTCAAAATCTGTAAAACAAATGGAAATTTTTGTAGACAAACACTGAGGAGAGCAAATATGGACAGAACCTCCCAGTAGCTGGGTTAAAGCCCACTTTGGAAGTGCAGGATGGTACCTGTGACTTCCAGGGATGCCCTAGGATCTGGCCGTCCAATCCTGGGTGTGTGATGACGATAAAATAGGAGCAGGAGGTATCCTAGTTTGTTTCATTTCTGAATATTCAGGCACAATTGTTCATGTTTCTGAACTCCTCTTCACAGCAGAAATCTACTCTTACTTCCAATGGGGAAAGGGTGATCTCTGAACTTGGATAAGAAAATAAATGTTAATTTTGAAAAAGATGTTACTGAAGTGTTGCGTTTTCTTCCATTATGAATATAGGCAACAAACTGCAGTGGCATTTAAGCTCTCATGAGTATCGCTATTGGAAATCACAAATATTTTCAAATCAAAATATAGCTGTTACAAATTCCTTAAAATATCATTTATTTTCACTACTGCTTTGAGATTACACTATTTATTAGAACCCCCCAGTCCCCTGCTGAATAGTGTCATTTAGTGTCTTAATAAAGAATCACACAAATATTACTATGTCATAATCTTAAAATGTTTTGGTAACATATTTCAACATAATTGGTCTCCTTTTGAAATCTTATGTATTAACTTTTTATATTTAAAAGTATTATTCTGAGGTAGAGTCCATAATCACCACACTATTCTAGGGGTCCATAGTGTAAAACTTGAGAAGATCCCTATTGTATTGTCTAGGAAGGAATCTGTAACTGGATCTACCTTAATGTTTGTGCAGAAAGAACAGAATATTTTTTGTAAGGGCTATTGAAACCTTATAAACCGAAAACAAATATTTTCTAATCTCAATGTGCATATTCTCAATATCAGGCAATTTTACTCCTGTTTAGCCCTCGATTTATTTACAGTGCTACCAGCCATACGGATAATGATTTCTTCTAAGAAATACAGAGACTGAAACACATCTGAGACGCTTGTTTGCTTTCAAAGCAAACAAGTGAGCATTCATGTATGTGCGCGAGTCGATGGTGCTCTTTTCAGAGGTGTAAAATTCTGAGATACAGCCTTGTGATGGGAGCAGCACGTAGTGAAGGGGCCTAGAGCAGTATTGCTTAGTAAATGTTTGAAAAAAAAAGTTTTTTTTTTAAACAACCCACAGACACACACACACACACATACACAGACACACACACACACACACACACACACACACAGAAGGTCAGATCATGCAACCATACAACAGCTTCCAATTTCCTATAGAGTACCAGCCAAAGTCCTTACAAGGGTCTACAACAGCGGTCCCTAATGTTTTCAGTACCAGAGACCGATTTTATGTAAGACAATTTGGGGGAGGGGGGTCGGAGGGATGGTTTCGGGATAACTCAAGCCCATTACATTTATTGTGCACTTTATTTCTATTATACACTATAATATATAACAAAATAATTATACAACTCGCTATAACGCAGAATCTAACGCGCTGCTAATCTGACAGAAGGCAGAGTTCAGACGGTGATGCCAGCGACCGGGAGCAGCTGAAAATACAGACGAAGCTTCCGTCGGCTTTCCCGCCGGCTCATCTCCTGCTGTGCGGCCAAGTTTCGATCAGGCTGCAGACGGGGTTGGGGACCACAGGTTTACAAGGCCGAAGGTGATCTCCCAGGGTTTCCTATCTCGCTCCACTCAGCACCAGCCTTCTCAACATTATTACTCCCAAGACGGCTCCTACCTCCAGGCCTTTCCCCTGGCGATTTTCTCCTATTGCAGATCACTGTTTTCCCCCTGATACTCTCATTTCTCTCTCGTTCATCACCTTCACTGCTGGACTTTCATATCCCCTTTCTCTGTTTTATATTTTTTTCTCCAGGCGCTTATCACCATTATTTTATTTATTTAGCGCTTCATTATCTGTCTCCACCAACGCCATGTAATCTTCCTGAGGGCAGGGGGTCGCATCTGTTTTCTCCATGATTGCATCTCCAGTGCCTTGAATAGCAATACTGATTGCACGAATGAACGCATGAATGGAGAGGAGATACTGGGGCAGAGAGGATGTGGAGTTTGCCTTTCACAACAATTTTTCAGCCTGCAGAGACAGATCAAGAAAGGAGTAAAGACGATGGCGCGTGTGCACAAGTGGCCCCTGGAGAGACCATACACTACGAGCCTAGATAAACCGGGCAAACGGGACTTTCAGCCACAGCCCAGACCTTGCCGGTAGGACCGGTGCTGCTGACTAGTTTGTTATGAAGGTACACCTGCCGCCACACTTTTTACATGCAGGGCCAGTGGCGCAATGGATAACGCGTCTGACTACGGATCAGAAGATTCCAGGTTCGACTCCTGGCTGGCTCGGTGTATAGGAGATGTGTTTTACTTCTTTCCCTTCCTGATTGTACGGGAGTTCAATGGATTAAGAAAATTCGTGCACGGTAAAAGCTGCCTAGAAATCTCGGAAGCAAAAGAATCCGGCTTTTGACCACGGGAGTCATCACTTCTTTGCAGAGCAAATTCCACGTCCCACCATGTGGTGGCGCTAACCAAAGCGTAGCTGGAGAAACGTTGGCCGTCCCCAAATTGTGCCCCGCTTTTCAGTCCATTTTGATTATTTGGGCCGGGCCATGGCTCACGCCTGTAATCCTAGCACTCTGGGAGGCCGAGGCGGGAGGATCGCTTGAGCCCAGGAGTTTGAGGTTGCTGTGAGCTAGGCTGACGGCACGGCACTCTAGCCCCGGCAACAGAGCGAGACTCCGTCTCAAAAAAAAAAAGAAAAAAAGAAAAAGAGAGTAAGTTTGAAGTAACCTAAGTAAGCAAAGAGGAAGACAGCAAAATCTTCAGGTTGAGCAATAATAATGGGGGGTTATTCAGAAACAGTAAAGTCTCTATTTTGTTCTTTCTCATCTAGTCACATTTGTAGAATAAGTTATTAAGGATTTGCCTTCAGGTCTGAACACTGCAAGGGCTTGGTCTGCGCTTTTCTTTGGTTCTCTGGAGAGGACAGTAAGGATGCGCATGCGCACACCAAGGCAACACATCGTCACTGAAATAGCGACAGGCAGAGAGAGTGTTATAGAGTGAAGTGCTGACTCGGGACAGACCCTTAGAGGAGTTTCCGTAGTGTAGTGGTTATCACGTTCGCCTCACACGCGAAAGGTCCCCGGTTCGAAACCGGGCGGAAACAGTCTGGTTTTTCTTTCACAAAACTAGTTCCTGAATTTTTTTAAAAAAATTTTCATGCCATGATAAATTTCCTGTCTTGCTAGATCGGGGCCTCGGTACTGGTGCGGTGCTGCTCTGGGTGGGTCCTGAGTCTGACGGCCTCGGAGGTGGGCCCACGTATCACAAAGGGGAGAACCGGAGGCTCTCCCGAGCTCGGACGCGGGGCGGCCCGCCGCCTGCAGCCCCGGAAGCGCATCCCCGCCTCCCCTCGCCTTCCTGTTGCTGGCGGTGCCCGGCGGTGCCCGGCTCCGCTCGTCCTCACTGTCTGCGCTGGCCCTGCCCAAGTAGAGCGCAGCGGTGAGTCCAGGGCCGCAGGTGGGATTCCCGCGCCCCTCAGACTGCCACGAGACTCGGGTAAGTGTCTCGCAGGCCTCTTGTGCTCCTCCGGAAAAGGGGCGGGGAGCGGTTGGTGGTCCCGCCGCCCTCCATATACTTGGTACCCTCTTGCTATATGGCCTTGGTCGTAATGAGCGGCCTTGGCCTCCGACAGCCCTGCCTTGTCCTCTCATCTTCAGACTAACCACAGTATCTCTCCTAGCTCCGAGTGTGAATCCCTGGGATAGGCAGAATCCGGGAGGTGGGGGATCACAGAAATCCGCAGGCCGGACAGGGATAAGTCTCCATGGGCGCTTTAGGGCAGATAAAAGGGAAAAGAGGAGAGGATTTGAAAGGATTGAGCGCACCAGGCTGTAGCCTTGAAGAGGTTGTGGCGGACGGGCTGAACTTGTCCTGGGCTCTCCCTTGCTTCCCAATTTACAGGGCGTCGCCTTCGGAAACCTCCATCGAGAAGACACCGAAGGGGCTAGTCTTCCTCCACTTTGACCTTCTGCTCTCTCAGTCAAAAGAAAAAAATAGATCCCAAAATTAACAAATGGCCGACTGTCGATTCTGCGTCTTGCCTTGCAGCTCTAGAAAAGTCATGGGCAGCACCTGTTTAAAATCAGGACTTGTGCCCTGGTGTTTGACCGTGGACCTCTGCCTGACACTTGTCTTGCTTACAAGTTAATTGGATCAATCTTGGATCAATCAAACGCTTTTGTAGGAAACAAGACGTGGTGTGCCACCTGACAGCCCCAGGTGTATCCTCAGCATTTCCTTCTTAGATGTATTATTACTTTTTCTAAGCATTAGCCAAGCCTGACCTGTCAGATCACATTGTTCCAGGTTCCCTCAAATGACTGATAAGAATGTGATGTTTTTATGACCATAAAAAAAGGACAGTCGTTATCTAATGATTGTTTTCTTTTATCATTTTATCACTTTCTTAAACAGGCTGTTTTGGATAGGGATTGCCTTTCCCAAACCTGTAACTCCTTAACTTCATAACTTCTCGGAAAGTCCCATGCTTTTATCATCTTGCTGGTTCCCTTAACAAGATAATATTTTAGCTAGCAAGATAATGTCTTGGTTAGTAAGACAATAAGCTTGGACATGGCTCAAAAGCAATTTGTCTAATATATTTTCATGTAAAATCCCTTTCAATACCACCCAGAAGGCAAGTTAGTGTGGTGCCCTGCAAGGGGGCAAGGTCACCGGGGCCAGGGAGGTTGGCAGGGATTTATCCTCTCCATCTTTGTATGATGCCAGTGGGCAAGAGTACTTTAGCCTGGAAGCTGTGCCCCTAAGCAACCTTTGCAGGTGGGTGACAAGTTGTTTGGGGGGCCTATGGCTCACTCCTCTTCAAACCAGATGCAATCTGGCAAGAGGCAGCAGCAGCCCTACCGTTTTATAGACACGCTGCCCTTACTTACCCTTCCTTTCAACATTTGCCTCCCCCAATCTTTCTCACTTAACCTCAAATGGAAGCTCATGCTGTGTCTGTAATACTTTGGAAGATGGAGAACAAGTAGGTCCTGAAAAGTGACTGATACCATGTGACCTCTTGTTCCTATAGCACACTGCATTTTGTATGTGAATCTTTTCTTTTTAATATATCCTTTATTGTCTCCTTCCTAAGTTTAGCATTAATAATCTTCTTCCAGGTCTTCCATCCAACCTAAAGGCACTATCTCTCCATAAGTAAGAGGCAGGGAGAAAGAGAGTAGCCTTCTGATTTTGGGGGAGGAATTGAGGTTAGAATCCAAGTTAGAACTACCTCCTGGAAATCCAGTCCTGGAAATCCAGTTCAGTGTCCATCAGGGGAGCAAAAGGATGCTGCTAAAATGGACCTTGCATGTGCTTGCTGGTGAGAGTGAGTACTGGATGAGGTTGGATTTGGTCCACGGACACCTAAGACAGACTTGCTATGAAAGAGAAAAAAAAAAAAAACAGAAAAAAAAGATTTTGAGAGCATGGGCGAGATCTCAAAATTAATCTAATCCAAGATGTGTCCCAGATCACTAAGTTCTTAACACTATTCCCTCCTGTGTTAGTCTGCTATGGCTACCATAACAAAGTACCACAGACTGGGTGGCTTAACCAACAGAAATTAATTTTCTCACAGTTCTGGAGGCCGGAAGTCCAAGATCAGGGTGTGGGCAGGGTTGGTTTTTTCTGAGGCCTCCCTCCTTGGCTTACAGATGGCCCACCTACTCATGTCCTCACATGTGTCCCTCTGTGTTGTCTGAGTTTTACTAATCTCCTCTTACTATAAGAACACCAGTCATTTTGAATTAGGGCCCACCCATAAGACCTCAGTTTACCTTAATTATCTCTTTAAAGACCCTATTTTGCTTTTTATCTCACTGTTAATCTTTTTTTAATCCATTCCTGCCAATTAATTTAAACTTCATGGTCTTTTTCTAACAAAGAAATGCAAGTTTTCATAGCTAACAAAGGATTGGAAGAAGGATGGAACATATGTTCCTTCTCCCTGCAGCTACTGAGGAAAGAAATACCTTTCTAGGCCGGGCGCGGTGGCTCACGCCTGTAATCCTAGCTGTCTGGGAGGCCGAGGCGAGCGGATTGTTTGAGCTCAGGAGTTCGAGACCAGCCTGAGCAAGAGCGAGACCCCGTCTCTACTAAAAATAGAAAGAAATTAATTGGACAACTAAAAATATATAGAGAAATTAGCCGGGCATGGTGGCGCATGCCTGTAGTCCCAGCTACTCGGGAGGCTGAGGCAGAAGGATTGCTTGAGCCCAGGAGTTTGAGGTTGCTGTGAGCTAGGCTGACGCCACGGCACTCACTCTAGCCTGGGCAAAAGAGTGAGACTCTGTCTCAGAAAAAAAAAAAGAAATACCTTTCTATATTACAAAATAAGCAATATGGTTAAATGAGTAAATTGAGAACTTTCATAAGAATTTCAGTTCTGTGCAATGTGAAGACAAGATGAGTGATTCAAAACTTTTACTAACTTGCTCTGTTCTTTGTTACTATAATTTTGTTCTTGGAAGAGTTTTTTTTTAACAAAGGGGAATTGTTATACTCCTAAAACTTTAAAAATTGTTGCCATGTCTTGGGACAATAACTTCAGTATGTGTCTTGATAATTTCTTGCCCTGGTGATATCACTGAAAGTCATTTCTCTGTATTTCCAAAAGCTATAAAGTTATTTATAAGATTTATATGCTAGTCAATAATTCTTTTTTTCCCAAATGCATGAGGGAGTATTTGTAATGACTTCTGCATTTTATTATTAACAGATTATTTCTTTTTGAACTCTTAAAATATGAATTGTTTATATTAATAGACTTAATTTTTCAAGCAATTTTAGGTTTACAGAAAATTGAGCAGAAAGTACAGAGTTCCCACATACTCCCTTTCCTTGTACCTCAGTTTCTCCTATTAACAACTTGCATTGGTATAAATTTGTCACAATGGATGAACCAATACTGATACCTTATTATTAAGTAACATCCATAGTTTACATTAAAGTTCATTATATAAAGTTCGATAGGTTTTGTCACATGTATAATGTCCACTATTATATACCATTACAGTAGCATACAGAATAGTTTCATTGCCCTAAAAATATTCTCTGCTTCACCTCAGATAATTTCTTTTAAGTTAATGCCACTGTGTGGTAAGAGCATCCTCTTTCTCCAACCCCCCTTGGCCTTTGTGGAAATGAAATGAGCTTTTATCGCTCTGGTCCTTTTTCATTATTTCTCTATCTTTCTCCTACATTTGTAAGGTCTCTGAAGAGTCAGCCACCTGGTCTCCTGATCAACTAACTTCTTAAAGGTGAGTTTCAAGAATTTAATCCATATTCATATACCCAGATACAGCATTCAGGCAGCAGCCTGTCTTCCCTGACATTATTTTGTCACCTGCTGTATTTTGGCATTTGACACATGGGGATCATGTCCCCCCTACTTGGGATGGATTGCAAGAAATCTAACTTGAAGAAGACTGAAACCCTGACACACAGGAAACAGATTGTGTGAGCATTCCCACACGAGGAGATGGGCTGAAAAACACAATTTTGGAGTAAGATGGAAAGCGAATGGTATGGAGTGTCCATTCTTTAAGGAAGTATGTCCTAGATCAAAAGCTCACTCTTACTCTTACGGTTAAACACTGTCATTCTCTTAACATAAAGGTCTCTAAGAATATATGCAGACTATTTAGTATAACCTTAATATTTATTGTCTGAGTTGGGAAACTTTTTGAGAGTAAAAGGGAGCTTTTTTTTTTTTCTTAAGGGACAAGGTCTTGCTCTGTCATCCAGGCTAGAGTGCAGTGACTCAGTCATAGCTCACTGCAGCCTTGAACTCCTGGGCTCAAGCGATCCTCCTGGCTTGGCCTCTGAAAGCGCTGGGATTATAGGCCATCACACCTGGCAGAGCATTATTAAAAACTATATTAGGGCAACAGGTGTAAATCAAGTCATCCTCCTATTAGACCAGATGATTTTTATGCCATAAAATGTCTCTCAATATTGGTTCCTTCGTTGTAAAAATAGCTATCTTTCTCCTACCCATTTCTTTCTGGTCACACTGTTACCATACCCAAAGCTGACCTATGTGATCTCTAGCATCCTTCTCAATTATTTTCTTTAAAAATTATTTTTTTTATTGTGTCTGAATTTGCATTTTTTAAAAAACTTTTGTTTTCTAAGAATTATTAAAACATTTCTTTAGAATATGTTTGGGGGAGAGGGAAAAGGCCAAAAATTAAGTGTAAATTCACGCACGTAATGTCTAGAGAAGGATGTCTTCCTAAGAGAGCAGGTTAGGCATAGCTGGATTGGAACTGCAGTGTGTCTCAACAGCAACAGAGAAGTCAGTGGCACAGTTACTTTTTGATCCCTCAGTAATTCAGTCTCCCTGAAAAGAAGGCAAGGGAAAGCACAATCAGAGAAGAGAAGGATGCAGCTAATTTCACATTAGCTTTCCAGTGAAGAGCTGTTCAACATTTAAACAGAACTGTTTCATTATAATCCTTGTTCCCAGAGTGCCTTACAAAGAGTACCAAGGGAAATATTGACTATTAGTTCAAGGCACACTCCCACTTTGGTTCTTCTCCCTTCTTTATACTATCTCTCCCCTCTGTTCCGTAAGAAGGAAAGAAAAATGCAAAATTTGCAGAAATTCTAGTTATAATGAAAAATTTGGGGGGGAAATGGATAATTTAATGTTTTAGCATGCTTTACAGCAGTTACTCTGTTAGCCTTGGGACATACAAATCATATCTAAGTTTGCTCACATATGACCATGTTTGCCCACTATATTTAGATGTGAGGGCCAGCAAAAAATCAAAACTCTGGAGTAATTTAGAAACAAGATAATTTTTTTTCTTAAAATGTAATATTGTGGAGTGGGGGCAGCTAACGGTGTTACAAAATTTCCCAGGAAATGTTTTAAAGGGTGGGGCAGAAGGTCTGAGTAGCTAATCTTGGCCAAAAGCTTTAAAAAAAAGTCACAAGTGCCCACGAACGCCAGCCATAGGCCCAGGTTCTAATTACCCAAACTCAAAATAAATCATTTTCTATTCTTACCTATATGGCTCTGAATTTGTGCTCTGGACTATGCACATTTTAAAAATATTTTTATTCTTCAGCAGACACAATTTTTCTGTGTAAAATATAGAGAGCACATCAGCCATGTGCTTCCCTTCTGTTGTTTAGAGAAGACAATGCCACTCCCAACCCCTTATCTCAGGACTAAGCTCCATACCCCATGCCCTCTCCAAACATGTCCCTTTCCCAATCCCCGAGAGGTGATCCCTGTCCCAATTTTTGTATTTATCCCTTTTATTAATTTTACTACTTGCTTGTACCCTAAACGTGTCATTGTTTTACACATACAAATGGATCTATACATATTCTTCTGTAGCTTGCTTTTTTTTTGCTCAACATTTTGTTCTTGTGATTCGTCCTTGTTTTTGCATGTAGCTGTAATCTATTTGTTTCTGCTGCTGAACAGTATTCCCTTTTATAGATATTACCAAAATGTATTTATCCATTCTACTATTGAAGGACATTTGAATGGTTTACAGTTTTTTGAAATTGCAGTGTTACTATAAACATTCTTGTAGGGATCTCCTGTGCACCCCTCTAAGAATCCCTCTAAGTAAACATCTAGAAGTAAAATTGCTTTACATAATACCACATTGTTTTCCAAAGTGAATACACTAATTTGCACACATACATCCCCACCCATCAGTACATAGGGTTTTGACTGGTTGACATCTGCTGAGCCCTTGATATTATCGGACAACTTAGTTTTCATAAATTTGATAGGTATAAAATGTTATATCCTGTGGTTCTCCTATTACATATTTTATGTGCTTATTCCCCATTCATGCTTCTTCAAACTACTCGTTAACACTTTTGCCCATAGTTTTAAAATTTTTGTTTTGTCTTTTTCTCATGGATCTGTAGGAATTCTTTGTTTATTTTTTTTGTAGAGATGAGAGTCTTACTGTGTTGCCCAGGCTGTTCTCAAACTCCTGGCCTCAGGCTATCCTCCTACTTCAGCATCCCAAAGTGTTAGGATTATAGGCATGAGCCACCTGGCCCAGCCCAGGAATTCTTTATATATTCTGGATTCTAATCCTTTATCAGTTGTATGTGTTACAAATATCTTTGCACAGTTGGTAACTTATTATTTTACTTTTATGCTATCTTTTTGATATATACAAGTTATTAAAAATATAGTTAAGTTTGATTTTTAATGTTAAATTTGTCTATCTTTCCCTTTATGAGTTACACTTTTTAATGTCTCACTAAAGAAATCTTTCCAGGAGCAGTGTAAGGAAGATAAGCACCCCTTGGACTGGCAAAGCCACCTGCCAAGCACTGCAACCACCATGCCCAAAAGAAAGGCAAAAGGAGATGCTAAAGGTGATAAAGTGAAGATCAAGGATGAACCACAGAGGAGATCGGCACGGTTGTCTGCTAAACCTGCCCCTCCAAAACCAGAGCCCAGGCCTAAAAAGGCCCCTGCAAAGAAGGGAGAGAAGCTGCCCAAAGAAAAAAAAGGAAAAGCAGATGCTGGCAAGGATGGGAACAACCCTGCAAAAAACCAAGATGCCTCTACAGTCCAGTCCCAGAAAGCAGAAGGCACCGGGGATGCCAAGTGAATGTACGTTTTTGATAGCTCTCTACTTCTAATGACTCTAGTGTTTGAAATACTACTTTTTTTAAGTCAAGTTTTATAAAAATGTAGGATTTGGGTTTTTCTTTTTTTTTAAGTTATGTTGTTAGCACCCAGGACACTTTGTTGTTTTTTGTGGAAAGGGCAAATACCACTAATAGAGTGTGTCTCAGAAACTGAATTGAAATGCTGGAAAATAGGATTTTCTGTTTTGGTTTTTGAAGACTGTTCTTGGTTCCCAGGAGAAATTCTCTGACATTCACGTTAGTCACTTTGGCACAGAAGCCTTACAGTGTGGGGAAGCTAAATTTCACGTCTTCTCCTTCCCCGATACCATCAGCATAGACTTGGCCTTGCCATCCCTAAAATCAACTGTGTTAGGTAACAAAACTCAGGCTCTCAGGTGATGACATTGAAATATTGTCACTCAAATGAGCCAAGATTCCTATTTTTAGTTTATGGATTCATCCTGTGGAAAACTCTGCATGTTTTAGTTCATTTCTTCCGTGTCAGAGTTGGCCTGTGAAAAGCTTATACATGCCTCATGTGAAGTGTCCACCCCCTCTGAAAACCTTTCCTGTTCAAAGCAGCAAAAAAAGATGTTGACTTTTACAGTGACTTTTTCAGGAGGGGAGTTTGGAAGTTATAAAATGTTATAGGTTGCCACCTATGTCCTGCTGGAAGTAACTGTTTTTGAAAAGTATCTTTATCTATAAAGCTGAATATAATTTGGCTTGGGGAGATCATTTCCTACCCAAAGTCATAAAGATATTCTTTACCGCCTTGTAAGAGTTTTGTAGTTTTGCTTTTCACATTTGGCTTTAGTCTGCCCTGAACTGATTTTTATGAAAAGTACGAGGTATTCAATTTAATATTTTTTCCCATATGTATAAGTGCTTGTCCCAGCACTATTTACTGAAAAGTTCAACTTTTCCCCACTGATCTGTAACACTGGCTCTTTCATAAATTAAGTTTTTTGTATGTGTGTGGGTCTGTTGATGGTTTCTATTCTGACTCACTTGTCAATCTGTCTAACCCTGTGGCACAACTATACAGTCCTAACTACTACAACTTTAGAAAAAGATCTTGATAGAAACCAAAATGTCTGCACATTTTGTCAGTGTTGACCAATCTCACCTCTACCTTCAACATTACCACTGATTTTTTTTTTACTTGGGAGTGTCTTGGCTATTCTTAGCCATTTGGTCTTCCATACAACTTCTAGGATTAGATTGACAAGTTTTAAATCAAACAAACCAAAAACATGTTGGAATTTTGATTGTATTTATGTTAAATTTATAAGTTAATTTGGTGAGCCATGTCATCTTTGCAATGTTGTCTTCCAGTCCATAAATGTAGTATAGCTCTCTATTTAGGCTTTTTAAATATCTTTCAATAAAGTTTTATAATTTTCTCCATAAATGTATTTTGTTAATATTTCCTAGGAACTTCCTAAAACTTTTATATGGTGTATTTTTAGTTATTATATTTTCTGTTTTTAGCTAATGTTTTAATTTTTGTTTTAATTTTTGTATCCAGCGACCTTACTACTTCTCATTAATTCTCATATCTGTAAATTCTTGTGTGTTTCATATATAGACAACCATATGTTTTGTATATACAAACAGTTTTGTTTCTTCTTAGTCCTTATACCTTTTATTCCTTTTTCTAATGTTAGGCATAGTCCAAATGCTGGGGATAACAGCAGTAGAAAAAAAAAAAAAAAAAGTCTCTGCTTTCTCAAAGCTTATGTTCCAGATGGGGAGGGGGGAAAGCATAGAAAGTATACACATTTATGTGACAAAGGGCCTTAAGTAAAGAAGTGTAGGTGGGTACTATTTAGAGTGGTTAGTGAGTCCTCCGATGAAATAACATTTGAACAGAGCCCTTAATGAAGTAAAAGAACAAAAGATGTGAATCTGAGGGGAAAGCATTCCAGCAGAGGGAATAGCAAGTGCAAAAAGATTAGGTGAAAATGTTTTTGGCATACTGAGGAAAAACAAGGAGGCAAAAACAGCTGAATTGGAGTGAAGGTGAGGAAGAGTGATAGTTGCTATGATTACAGAGATAAGAGATAGCCAGGGCCAGAAAATGAAGGATTTTTGCAGCCTGTAAATTTTCTCTGAAAGTAATGGGACGCTATTATAGTTTTGAGCAAAGAAATGACACAATCTAAGGTGGTGTATACGTACGTATGTATGTGTGTAAATATATGTATATATGTGTGAGTGTGAATGGTTGCTGCATGGGCAATAGACTGTAAAAGGCTACGTGTGGAAGGAGGAAGACCAGTTAGACAGTTGTCACAACAGTCCAGGCAAAACATGTTGATGACCTGGACCTGGTAGGGAGCTGTGGAGGAGAGTGAATTGGATGTGAAGTGTGAGAGAGTTGGCAGTAAATAATGAATGCCAAGTTTGGATGATTGCTTAACCTCTCTGAGCCACAGTTTCCTCAGTAGCAAAAGAAGAAATCATACCTATTTTGCAAAGTTTCTAAAAGAATTAGAGATACTATATGGAACTGGTTAGTATTATAATTTTTTTTTTTTTTGGTACTGACTCTGGTTTGGAATGGTATTATAATTTACCCAGTTAGCATACTGATGCATAAAGCTGTGTTGGAAATTTGAAAAAAAAATAATTCCTATTTACCAGGACCTCATCACTACTGAAAAACTGAAAAGAAAAAAAAAAGATTACTTGGCAATCTGAGGGCCAGGGCCAGGCCTCTCCATATGAGGCCCTTACTAAACCCAGTAGTGTATATACTAAAACTGAAATTACATAATTTCAACAACAATATCTCCCTTTGTAATATTGAATTGCTGGCAATTCTGCTTTGTCATGCTGTATCACTATGCTTCCTCTGCTGAACTATTTCTATTCCATTTTCTTTGGTAAACAACAAACATTTATCTGTACTTTCTCTTTGCTGGACAACAAATCAGGATCAAAGATAAAAGAAACATTCTGTCTTCAGAGCTCAAAGTCGAATGGGGTAAAGAGATAAGTCACCACACAGTAGTGTGCTTTGTGTTGTGGTAACACTAAAGGAGACTGGAACCCTGATGCCAGAGCATGAAGGGGTCTTAGGGAGGACTTCCTGGAGCATGTTGACACCTGAACAGCAAAATGAAAACATATAGGAGGCGGTCAGGCAAGAAGTGGGGAAAAGGCTTCTAGAAAGAATAATAACATTTGCAAAGATGTTAAGAGAATATGGTACATAGTAGTCAATAAAGTATTTGTTGAATCAAAAAAATGATTAGGATGAATAACCAAATATATTATGCTTTTGACTATAATAAGGAAAACTCTTATTATGTGTTAATGTTTACCACACACTGTGTGTGCCCAGTGATTTACATGCATAAGTTCATTTCCACAACCCTATGAGGTGAATAATATTATTCTCATTTAACTTTACATTTAGTTAAATTGAGGCAAACAGAGATTAAGTAACTTGCCTTGAGATCAAGAATAAGAATAAAATCCAGAATAAGACCCAGGTAGGTCTATGACTCCAGGGCCTACAAGTCCCTGTTGTTGAAAAAATTGAGGCTCCCTGGTATAAATCTCAAATGTAACTCATCCCAAAAAATAATTTGATGTTTCTGAGTAAACTGACTAAGGAACTTCTAAGATACTAGGAAACCATCAAATGCAAGAAATGACCATATTCTACAAGCTAAACAGTTAAAATTTCCAGTGAAGGGTAGTAATGAGATGACAATAAATTCCAGGGGGGAAAGTGGTCATAAAATTTAGAATTTTAGTATATCTTCTACACAAAGATGCAATTTTTTAGATAGAAATATTCCTCTGGATAGGGGCCCATGAAATCTAAGAAAAAAAAAATTCCTGAAGTGGGGAAGTGTAAATTAGAAAATCATAAATCAATCTTTAAACCTTTTTGTGTACTTTCCTGATCCATTTGGCACTTATAGTTCTACCTGTAAATTTACAAATTAACATCCTGGTTTATAACTATTTTGAGAAGTTGAGTGTCTGACATGAATCAGCCTGTGTGATCCAGAGTTTTTAATATCAAATTTCTGGCCCTCAAATCTGAGACATTAGACCTGGAAGAGTTGGAAAGAAGAGGGAGGGAAATTTATTTTTCTGTATCTGCCCTTGTTCCATTACATTCTTTTCTCAACAGTGGTTACAATGATCCTCATAAAATGTACGTCATTCCTGTCTCAAAACCCTCCAGCGGCTTCCATCCTGAGCCCTGCTTGAACCGCCCAACTGCCTGGCCCTCCAGCCGCTCCGCACTCGCCAGTAGGGAGCGTTTCTGACCCGGTCTAGGCGGATGGGAGATCGCATCTCTTGGTGTCATGTCGCGCCGGGCCACTCTGGACTGCATCCACATTCCCCAGCTGGGTAGGGGAGGCTGGGACCCTGCGTTCTTTCCAGGCCTTTCTCCTCAGACCCCTTGAAGACCTTGCTCTGGCTTCACGCCGTGGCTCAAACAACACTGGGAGGTCTCTTCTGAGATTGTAAATGTCTGCGAGCCTTCTTAATCTCTTAGGTGCCGGAGAACCTTCTGGCCCCAGGATGAAGCCCTTGTCAAAATTACATTTTTTAAAACACACAAAAAAAATACATATGATTACAAAGAAAACCAATTACACTAACCAAAACAGTTATCAAACAATTAAAATAATTTGTGATACAGTAATATGTGTGCTTCTTCATTAATGTATTAAACAAACATCAAGACCTGCCTTATGACCACCATAATTTCAAAACAAGTATTGGATATTTGTAACAACCTACTGTGATTTTAAAAATGTGATTTTTCGCCACTTACACGTATAAGTGAAGGAGACGTTAAATTTCAGCTCTAGGTTAGAGATTTTAAAGATGTAGAATTTTTTTCCCCATCCAACCTCACCAGCCCCCCGATTAAGGAACTCGGCAAAAGTGCTTAACACAGTGCTTGGCACATTGAAAACCTTCCATAAATGCAGGTTTTAGTAATTTTTTTTCTGCCTACTACTGACTTGAGAAAGATTTTAGTAATTTTATCATTACTTTTCTTGTACCTGCTCAAATTTCTTTTAGGTGATCATGATGGACTTAATCACATGAAGTCTTTGAGAGTTAAAGACTTCAAAACTAGTCCCAAGTCTCACACACTCCTCCTACTACTATGCCTTATTTAGGGG